TTCACAGCCACGTACTCTGTGCGCGTACGCGCACGAGAGACAGCACAAGGCATATAGACGCGAACAGGAGCATCTCCTCGTGGATCACATGTCCTTTTCCTAGTCGTTCTCGGCCGATCACGTCCCCTCCAGTAACCGGTACAGCAGCAGCAGTAGCGGCAGCGGTAGCGGCAATACTAATATTTCAGCTGTTTTTTATCGCCGCCACGTACGCTGTTTTTTGGCCCCCTTCTCGCTCTCTCTCCCTCGCAGAAAAACCGTAAGCTAATATGCTCGTCGGGACAGTGTTTAGGAGACGGAATGTGCGAAGCCCTGTGCGGCTTCAGTAAACGAGCACGCCAGTATAAGCAAATAACATCTTCCTCCTTCTGCCAATAACGAAATTAATATTTTCGAGTTTACTACGCGTCGCGCCGTTGTAATATCCGCAGACGTTATATTTGCATTTCTATAGTTTCTTCTCTCGCGCGTTTATCCGCTCATATTGCAAGCATGTAGATTGTGTCATCTTCTTCCACCCATCTCCGCACGTGGCCCTATCGTAACTTCCCACCATGCATCCATCCACGACATCCTTTCTACTTAAGCCAGCTTAACCCGTAGTACACACGCGTCTTCTTGCATGCAGCCCTATATATCGTAACCTCTTGCCCACGACTCCAGCACTGACACCCTTCAAACGTTAAACCAGTTCCCCATCATCTGTCACCCACCTCCGCCTGCAACCCTACCATGACCACCCAACCCGAGCCACATCCACTCGCATCTGCCCTTGATATACTCGTAACGCTCTTTCCTAAACCGTGTTATATCCACGTCCCTCTTTGCATGCAGTCCAATCGTAAGACACTGCTCACGGTTAACCCAGCATCCAACCTTGACACTCCCGCAAACCATAAACCTTTACCCGCTATCACACACGAGCCTCTTCGCATGCAGCCCTATCGTGAGCACTGCCCACGTCTAACCTACATCTATCGCCCGCGTCCTCCCGATGTTACACCCTTACCCCGTTAGTGCTCACGCCTCGCATACACCGACGCGAGCTTCCTTCACCGACCAGCGTGTAAACTCACGGCTTCTCTCCGAACCGCGCCATAATAAAAACAACAGAGAAAAAACACGGGAATGAGGAGCGAGCGAAGATGGAGGGAAGGTGAGAGAGCAGGCGGGGCGGGCGGAGGAGGGAGGATGGTGGAGCCAGCAGCCGGGGGTGAGTAGGGAAGGAAACAGATGCCCGGGGTAACGCGACACGGCGTACGGGGCCGGCGCGGGCATGTGCGTGCGCTGCCTGCCGCAGCCATCGCCGGCCGCCTGCGCTACGTAACAGCACCCGCGCAGCTGCTTCTCGTTTGAGCCGCTAGCTAGCTGGCTGTTGCTGTTGCTGCCGCTGCTGTTGCTGCCGCTGCTGTTGCTGTTGCTGTTGCTACCGCTGCTGTTGCTGTTGCTGCCGCTGCTGTTGCTGCCGCTGCTGTTGCTGTTGCTGCTGCTGCTGCTGTTGCCGCTGCTGCTGCTGCTGCGGCATCAGCATCACCGCGTCAGCTTTATACAGAGTCAGAGAGAGAGAGAGAGAGAGAGAGAGAGAGAGAGAAGAGAGAGAGAGAGAGAGAGAGACGCGCGCGACGACGAGACGTACGCCCTCCTCCGTCGACGACACAGTGGTCGCGGACGGAACGGGTCCGTCGGACGGAGGGAGACGGTCCGGGGCCGACCGGTAACGGTACGGTA